GGGGTGTAACCTTTCCTGTCAGGAATTCCCATTTTCAGGCAGCACTGTGGCTCTGGAGCAGTGGGCAGACACTGACCCCCGTTGCCCTCTGCCGGGCTGGCAGAGCCTTACAGAGTGCAAAAGAGCTGTAAAAGAGAATTCAAAAATAATTTGATTCAAAAGAAGCAGATTTAAAGACATCAGTAATTAGACAGAAATAGCCAAGGGAAATGAGAAGGCTGCTCAAGCTGCTGTGTGGGCCAACTTGATCCAGCAAGAATTAGCTTGCCAAGGATAGTCTAAAATATGCAGCAAGAGAGGAAAGACTTGAACACTGTTTCTCTTGCTCAGCCCTTGATTCATGAGACAGACTCTTCCTTGAAGTCACTTATTCCTTCCTGCAGGATACAGCTTAGGGCAACTCCTCCAAACCGAGTTTAAAGTCATCAGCTTCTCATTTTAGTTAGACTAATATATTAAACACCACCCCAGGATAAAGAAGGTTCTGCACGACAGAATATTTCTGATTGCACTTGAGAAGTTCTAGGTGTAGCCTTGCTCTGTGTTTGAAAAAAGAGTGCACTTTCTAGGTTTGAGTCACTTGGCTATATATGACACACTGCTCTTGTGCAGCCTTTCATTCTTGCTCTGTATTTGAGCTTTTAAGCAGGAGTGATAGGGAAAATCCCATGCCTTTTGTAGGCTGCAACTATCCAGTATTGATCAAATAAAATCAGGTGCTGCAGTGCAGAACACAGGAATATCATGAATCCTCATCTCTGTGGGGGAAATTTCACACGATGGCTCTTCAATACCCTCCCTTTCCCCCATCCCAGACCGTTCCACTTTCAGGGATGAGATTTCTTTTAAAAGAATTCAGCACATTAATTATAGCAGCTGGTGGAAATATCAAAACTAGCCCAACAGTAACATAAAAAGCTTTTATTGATATCAGAAAAAAAGACTTTTAACAAATTTAAAAATCAGCCAGTTAATACAAAAGCATCATGATGCTACACTCATGATTAGGAGAATAACACAGCAGGCCAAATACAAGTCTTCTGTCACACAGCCCTATAAAGCAATTATTTCCACCTTTGCTGTGTTTTACCAGTTAGTTCTTACACAGCACCCAAGAAAAAGCTCTGAAGTGAAAGGACTTTGAATTTACTTTAACTGATGAAATCAGTGTGAGAATTCAAGGTCCTAGATCCCAGGCTGGAGCTCAGAGCCAGGCAGCAGCTGGTTAAACCCTCTGCCCTGTTCACAGCTGTGCCTCAAAGTGTCTCACAGAGATCTTCCACCCTTTACACTGGAAATGGTGGGGGGACAAGGTAAGCAAACTGCCCAGGGCCTCAGGAGCTGCAGCCACCAGGATCAGATGGAAGCTTCTCAACCAGGTTTGCAAAGCTGAACCCTTACATGCTGTGTTTAGCAATACCATTGTTCCAGTATTCTGCAAAAAGTCAAAATCCCTTTGGTCACACATGATTTGAATCATCCCAGGAGTCTAAGCCTCAGGACAATGTGCAGATTTCCCTTGTCTATAGCCAGAGCACAGTATGACCAGCAAACTCTGGCTCCCAGGACGTGTCTTTGCTGGTATGGATCCTAATGCAGAAGCAGAGCTGAGCTGCCAGCAGCAGGGCACTGTTATTTTTTGCGTTTTGAGCTGGGCCAGTCCCCCCAGGGCAGGGTTTTCTTGCCCTTGGACGTGCTCCGCAGGGAATGCAGGGTCTGCACTTGCTGGAGGCGCTTGGAGAGCTCCTGGTCACAGGCTTCCTGCAGAGCTCCAGCCTTCTGCTTGTCCCACCCCAGAGCCGAGGCCAGGGTTGCTCTGTCTTCCTTCAGCACCAGCTGTAGGAAAGCACATTTCTAAGTCTTTTCCACTGACTCCCTCACCCCGACCCTCTGCCCACATGGACAACAGCAGGAATGAGGCACCTGTTTAGCACTGGCACTTTGGAACTGAGGATGTTCCCAGCTTTCATCACCTATTCCATGGGCCACTGGATTTCCAGTGTTCTGCCAATGCTCAGAGCTTGAAGCTCTGTTCAGATGTTCAAGGGAACAAACAGCAGCTACTTAGTTTCCACAGCAGGGAAAAGCAACAGCAGCCAGGTCACAGCTTGGAAGAACACCTTTCTATAGTGGTTACAGTTTAGCTGGACTTTCCCAGCTGTGGGTTTGTTTATAGTTTTCAAAAATAATGAGTTGTTGATTTGGGATGTATAACCAAGAAGTATAGCTAGATGCCTCTGCATACAAAAAACCACCCTGCTGGTAAGACAGCTGACTATGATTTGTCAGAGACCAAACCCAAGAGTATTTTGTGGCTTTTTGGAGTACGTGAAACAACGTCAGCTGGCTGACACAGAGGGGCTGCAAGCAGGGGGTAGAGGTACTGAGGGAGAGAAATAGATTCAATGTCACCACGCTGAGACTGAGATCTACTGCCATCAGAGCCTCCAGGAGCAAGGACAGCTTCCCCTACAGCCTCTCTCTCCAGAGGGAGAGATTTCCCTGGATACAGTTGTGTCGTTCTCACCCACCTCTAGGTCCTGACTGTCCAAGCAGAGCTCTGGAGCAGGTTTCTCCCTCAGAGCAGCAAGGATCTGGTCACTGAGGGCTGTTTTGGCTGGAGTGCCTGTGCTGCTGGTACCTGTGTCAACCACATCCATCTCCTTCCTTGGTGCAGCCTGAGGTTCTGAAAGGGAGCAGAGTGAATATAGCCCCTGACAAACACAGGACAGGAAAAGTGGCCTGGACTGCTTTGATGGTTGTGAGATTAATAAAATATGCATCTTATTTATGTGTACCCTCTAAGTTAAGAAATCCATAACGCCTGTGTGATTTAAGCTTTTCTCCCAGTATTCTACTGGGAGTCAGTATTTCTGACTCTCATCTGGTCAGAGAATTCTCACACCACATACACTAAACCAGCTCTTGCATCAACCCCACTAACAGCTGCTGAGCAAATGACTCACTCCAGTCCTTCACTCCACCTTATTTATTCCACCAACTATTTCAGGCATCTCTGGGAAACTCCTTCTCCAGCATCCCAGTGCTCCCTACCTGCTACTTTGCTTAAGACACTGTCTTCAGTTTTCAAGGCCTCCAGGTAGAGCTCCAGGAGCTGCTTTGACTGACGCTCCTCTTCTCTTCTGTCCAGCACCTGCTGCAGGGTGTCCTGCAGCACCTGGGTTTTGGTTTCACTTTGGGCAAGTTCTTCTGCCAGGTCTGAACGTGGCACATCAATCAGCACCTGAAAACAATGCCAGTGCTGAGCAACTCATTCCATGGCCCTGAATGCAGTACCAACAGCAGGGACCAGCCCTCCTGAAACCCAGCGTGTCCCACAAGGTTTCTTGTGAAGCCACCATTCTTTACCAGAAGCCAAAAGGCATCCAGGGACAGCTGGAGTTAAGAGCACCCTCCTCAGACACTTGAGTGTTTCCCCTACACGAGAGATTTGACTCTGGCACCAACAGCCAAACAGCAGCAGCTGAATTAAGCCCGAGATCTTGTTTACTGATTCTGTTCTCTCCTGAGATGAATGGATGATGGACAGAGCCAAGGACAGGGATTGGGGGTTTCCCCGCTGTACCTGGAGGTCTTCTTCAGACATCAGGATGATATTGGACAGGTCACCCTTCAGCTGCCTGGCCAGCTGCTTCCACTTCTCCGCAGCACTGTCCACTTCATCCGCAGCCCCCGAGAGCCAGGATGTTCCACTGTCTGACACAAGAGTCATCAGCTCCCTGGGTCACTCCTGATCCACCTGAGACAGCCTAATGTCACCAGGTGTATTCCAGACACCCTCCCCTCCCATGCTCCCTCACCCACAGCCTACCTAAGCTTTTTCCAGACCATTTCTCATCCTTGGCCAGTGCCACAAACTTGGTGTTAGGTGGCAAACACAAGAAGTAATCCTCATCATCCACAATGGTCCCATCTTCTGCCAGCACCAAGGTGATGGGCTCCCTGGCCTTGTCAATGGCCAGAACACCACAAGCTGCACAACAGAAAAAAAAACTTAATTAAATGACAAAAGTGACACAGCACTGGCCTTTAATAACCTCCAGCACAAGGCACAGGCAAATCTCGGTGACTGAGGCCGGAGCCCAGACCTGTCTCCTCAGAGATCTGCACATCAGCTCTTTTTTAGCACAAACACATGTGCCTCTCTCCAGAAGTTAATATTAGAATCAGAGAATCACGGAATCATCAAGGTTGGAAGAGACCTTTAGGATCATCCAGTCCAACCGTCACCCAGCACTGCCACTGTAACCCCTAAACCATCACCCAGCGCCAGATCCAGACACGTCCTGAACACCCCCAGCGATGGTGACTCCACCACCTCCCTGGGCAACCCACTCCAATGCCTGACCACCCAATGTTTTCCTAATCTCTAATCCGAATCTCCCCAGCGTCAGTTTAAGGCCATTTCCCCTGGTCCTCTCTGCAGGACAGCGGGTGTTTCCCGGTGCAAACCTCGGCACAGGCAGCGGGCCGCCCGCGGGGCAGTGGAAGCACTTCCCGATGCTCGTTCCCACCTCCCCTCGCATCCTCCACTGCGAAGCGCCCCCGGAGCCCCGGGGGCTCAGCCCAGCATCGCGGGAGGGTCCGGGATCCCCGGGGCTCCCACCGGGCCCCCCCCGCACCTTGTCCCGGGACCGCCGGGCTCACCCTTGTCCCGCAGCTCCCGCAGGCAGGACGCGGCCACGCCGTGCTGCTCCGGCCCGTCCCGCCGCCGCACCACGCAGCGCTTCAGCCGCGCCGCCATCGCCTGGCGCCGGGCGATGCTTCTGCAGGCAGGGAAGGCGCTCCTGCCGGGAAGGGCAGGGACACAGCCCACCTGCCCCGGCTGAGACCGGCCGCTCCGGGCAGCTCACGGCAGCTCACGGCACCCGCGGATGCCCCGCGGGGCGCAGCGATGCGCCGGCGCTCGGCTCGCCGTGCCTGCGGGAGGGGAGGGCGCTGCATCGCGCGCTCGGGGGTGGATTGGGCACGCCTGGGAAGATGGCGGCGGCGGAGCGAGCGGAGCAGCCGGGGCAGGTGAGGGGGGTCCGAGGGGCCGGGCCGGGCCGGGGGCCCTGGGGGGCTCCGGGGGGCTCCGGACACACCCCTCGGGCACCGCGGGGGCCCTTCTGCACCGGGGATCCCTGCCCTCTGCGAGCGGGGGCTGTGTGGGGCTGGCTGGAGCAGGCCGGGCCCTGGGCACAGGCGCGGTGGCATTGAGGGGCTGTGGGTGTGAAAGTCGTAAAGCGTGTGAGTAAAGGGAGAAATAAATGCAAACAGGGCCGGGGAGAAAGGCCAGGTGGGCACGAAATGAGTTGGAGCCCTGCGCAGGGGGGAGGGTTGGACTCGATGGTCCTTGTGGGCCCCTTCAAAATCGGAATGTTCTGGGAGTCTGTGAGGAGTCAGACAAAAAACTGCCCCTGCCTTGCACCTGCGAGTGAGGGAGGAGGATCCTCGAGCCAGGAGCGTGAAAGGGCAAAGCAGTAAGAAACTGCTGTCAGATGTGCTGTCAGACACTGAACGGGGAGGGCCAAAGAGCAGTGGTTTGAGTGCTCACGAAACACTAAAAGTGTAAGGTATTTTTAAACTGGGGCATGAAATGAATGGAGCAACCAGAGAGGAGAAGGAAAGTGTGATGTAATAGTATTCAGTATATATTGTTAAAGGTCTTTTCCAGCCTTGATTCCATGGGATAGGTTTGATGTAGGTGTGCCTAGTGTAGGTTCCTGTCACTCTTATTGTGTTGCTGATGGCCCAGGGTCACTTGTATTCCATTGCAAACTCAACCCTCCTCAAATTCACTGACCTCTTGGAGCTCTCTCACCTCCCCTGAGTCCCAAACAGGCTCCTGAGAAGTGGTGCCAGGGGAATTTGGGAAAGTCATTTTGGTGCCCCCAGGAGGGAGGGGAAAGGTCTTGTCTGGCTGTTTGAGCAACTGAGAAGAAAACAGAACAAAGTCTGCCAGGGACACACTTTTATGTGCAGTCTCTCAAATCTGCCCAGATTTGGCTAATTCACCATGAACCTCTCTGCTGATCCTTTCATTTTGGACTGAGGAGGCTGAGTTTGTAGGGAACACTGTTGAACTAAACTGAAATGGAAATAAAATTACATAAAGTCTGTGCTCTTGGGTAACCAGCACAGGTCTGGGTTGTGAAAGGCCAAGTTACCAAACTCCCAGGAGGCTGGGCAGCTTTGCATCACCCAGGTGCTGTCATCAGTCCCAGAGTGAGGTGCAGGTGTTCCAGTCCATCCCTCACACTTCCAGGGAATGCTTTCAGAGTGAGGAGACCTGAAAATACTTGGGCAGTCTGCAGGGTTGGCACTTGCTGAGGAAGAAATCTGGTTAACTGGCAGATGTGGTTGCCTGAGAAACACTGAGGTTCTCTTGAGCTTAGATATTGTATCCTCCCCTTGCACCCTTTTTTAGCAAACATTTATTTAGTGTTGCTGTAGCTCAAGAGAAGGCTTGGTGTTTGCAAGTGGAAAAGTCTTGCTTTTATGGACCTCAGAAATGTAGCCAGAGAACCCCCTAGGTTTTAAAGTTAGGACATGAAGGATCATGGAATGGTTTGGGTCAGAAAGGACCTTAAAGATCACCCAGTTCCAGCCCCCTGGAACTGTGTCCATAGTGAAAAATGGGAATGGTAACTCCCACCTGTTGTGTAACATGGAGAGTTTTTCAGGTATGGGCTGTAGAGAGTAAAGTGGAGTTAATGCCTGTGCTGCTCTGTAAGTCAGGAAGAATTTGGGATGAGGAGAACAGCCAGGCTGCAGAGAGACCTGTGCACCACAGAGAGCCCGTTCCGTGTGGGCTCCTCTGAGGAGGGAGGGGATCTGGAGGCACCCTGGGTGAAAATGGTCAGTTAACTGGATAACTGCCCTGCTGGACTCTGTCCCAGTTCTTGCAGGAATGCTGGATTCTCAGGCAACAAGTTCCTTGCACCCCCTTTGGCTCCTGGCCTGACTTCACCAGAGTTTGTTCCAAGGACAGCTCTGGCTCTGCCCTCCCTCAGGCCTGGGGGCACCGCTGGAGTTCAGCTGCAGGCTCACACACTGACACTGCCCCCTGCACACACAGCCCCCAGGAGCAGCTCTGCTCCTACAGGAGCTTCCCTCCCTCCCCGTGTGCCTGGGAGGGGCAGGGGGGCTGCTCTGAGTGCCCGGGGCTGGGGGTGCCTGCTGAGCACAGAGGGCCCCACCACCATCTCCCACTGCTGCACTTCCCTCATCCAGAACTCTGGAACTGCTCAGTGCTCTCAAACTCTGTGGGCTTGGGTGGGATTTGAGAGACTCTTGTAGCTCTGGCAGGAAGAAGGGGGTGTGACTGAACCATACATAGCACAGTAGGTGAATTCTCAAGGGGACAATTTTGGAATTAAACAAACCAGTGAAAATCTCTCAGTCTCCCAGAGTGTAAACACCACTCCTCTTACACAACCCTTGCAGTTCTGACACTGTTATCAAGGCCTGTGGAAAGTTGTCCCCATTGCACACTAAATGTTTAGAGAATCTAATAAAATATTTGCTTTCTGCCACTGGTGATGTTTGTTTATTTATTGCCAGGCTTTCAGCATGAGTGGTGGCACTGCCTCGCTTAACTTGTTTATGTTTGGGTCCCATCATGTTTTCTATTACAAATCGAGTTAGTTTAGATGCTGGAAAGGGAGTGTCAGATGTCTTATGGCTTATTATCTGTTTTACTTGGTTTAATTTTCTCATTCTCGTGAATTAATATATTGCCTCAAGCACTGTGGGGACGGGGGGGAGCGTTGCAGCTCAAATGAAATCATTTACAGAGATAGAATTATGTTCTAAAGGCAATAAAGATTTCTACCAGGCTTTTTAAAATACTTTGTTTTGTTTAGAAATCATCTTCCTTGGGCCTTTAGTAAAAATAAGCAGAAGAAAAGATCCTGTCTCTCTGTTACTGTTCTTTATAGCAGCAGGATGATGGTGTGGCCTGTGAACAGAATAACTGATTTCTTGGTGAAGTTCTCATGGTTTAGTGGGAACCAAATCTTGTCTTCTTTCTAAAGCTTCATATACCCCCTCTGAGTTGAGTCTTCCATGTAACTGGGTGTTTTCTTTGTGTAAGGAAGTAGTTAAAGCAAATTTCAAAGGTGTTGGAAGATGGCTGATTTGTTGCTCCAGAGACTTAATTCCCCAGTTGCATTGTTAGTCAGTGTACAGGTGAATTTTGCTCCCCACTTGCCTGTAACTGTTGGCTGTTCAGCTCTGAATTCTGTGCCTAAAAAAATGGTTTTCCTGGTGAGGGTAAATGGTCCCTGGACTGGGATGTCCCTTGTCTTCATTAAACACAGGCTGGAAAGGATGGGCTCTTCCCTGACTTGTCCCGGAGCTACCATGTTCCAGAGGGTGACAGTTCCCTGCCTTACAACACTGGTTCCTTTGCCTTGTGCTTGGAAATCTGGCTGGAAGGGAAATGCAGATCTCACTTTAAGTGTTGGTAGCTTTGGACAATGCAGTCCAAGGACCATAAATGATCCAACTTGTCCTGTAGGTGCCACCAGGGAATGAACCAGCACGTGGCAGAACTGGTGAGTGTTTGTCTTCGGGATCAAGACTCTTCCTGTCAATATAATTATCATGTTTTCTCACAGCAGCCTGGACTTTGTTTCGGATCCTTCTTTGGGGAATTTCCCAGGTTGGCCAAATTCTGTGTGGGGTGACAGTCCATAAATACTAGAGCAGCTCTTTAGGGCAGGACATGGGAGCTCTAGTCCTTAGGATGCTGTGGGGATTTTCTGAGGATATGAATTCAGAGGTGGTTTCTTTCTCTCTTCCATTGTGCCTTTACTGTTTGCACCACACATTTGTAGTTTTTCTCTTTGAAGTCAGCTTAAGTAGTTCAAATGCTTTGATTTTTCCTTGAAGCTTGCTACAGAAGAGCACAATACATATATTCTTAGAAAACTCGGCACTTAATGTAAGTGGCTTGATGGAACAATTCCATGGAAATAGTAGTTAACAGTTATAGATACTTTTCTGAATTGTTCAAGACAGATTTTATCTGTGCTGCTCTTCCTCTCCTAAGCAGTTCTGACCCTGTGCTCACTGAAATTGAGGAGAATCTTTTCTCTGACCGAGCGTGCTGTGAATCAGGCCCCAATATTTTAGAGTATTGGCCATAGCAAGATACCTGTGTTAGTCCTGGGATTTGGCTGAAGGAATAAAACAGCACACACCCCAAATAAATTTATCCACAACCTAAACATGTTCAGTTACCTTACTAATAAATCATGCAAGCCATATTCTTGTGTTGATTCTCACATTTGCCGTATTTTTGGAGGACTGGATGGATCTTGAGGCTGTTCATTTTTCTTTCATCCAGCTGAAACAGATTTGAAAGCAGATGTTCTGTGCATGTAAAGCCAGTGACAGGGAGAAGTGCCCTTTTCTCGCTCTCACTGTGTGACTGCAGGGTGGTGTTGAAGCTGATGTTTGCAGTGGTTATGTCCAGTGATCCCAGGGAATCCCTGCCCAGCTGTGAGGTCTGGCTGGGCCCTGGTGATGATCCTTGTCTGGGAGCAGAGGAGTTGCAGGATATTTGAGTTTCTGGCACCCTCTTGTGGTAAAAACTTGGGTTTATATTTTTTTTTTTTTGCTGAATTTTGTAGATGGGAAAGAAACCCAAACTTGAAATACTTTGAAAATTTGGTATATTGAATAAAAGTAATGAATAGAGTCGGAGAACAAAAGGTCACTTAAGGACCTTGATGCTGAACTTAATGAATGGGTTCCCTTTTCTCTAACTGGGGCTCAAAAGTTGTCTTCATTACTAATCAAAGTGCATTTTTTCACCATTGAGGTCACAACTATGTGTCACCTCTGCTAAGATAAAACACCTCAGGTGGAGGCAACATGGCTTAGACCATCCTATCAGGTGGATCCTGTTTGGAAGCAGATTGTTGACCAAGATAAATTTATTTTCTGGTAAAACTGAAGTGTCTCTACCTTGTGAGAGCTGATACATTCAAGTTACACAGAGATCAAACTGCTGGGCTTTATTGGCAACGAAGAGAAGCCCAGGGAGGAGTTCTGTAAAACATGGGGCTGTGGGGAAGTGCTGTGCCTGTTCTTGAGAAGTGAGTGAATACAAGCAAACCTGCAGGTGAGCCTGGAGAGGGGAAGCTCTGGAGCTTCAAGTCTAGTCCAGTCTTTGGCTTCCTGTCCTGCTTTAATCAAATGGTTCCTCTTTCCTCCTGTTCACCACTTGTCCTGGTGTGCAAGGTAAAGTGTTCAGCCCTAAAACTTCATCTCTTAATTATGTGTGGGAAACAGGGATGGCCCTGGTACTGTGACAGTTTGTGAGGTTTAGTTAAATCATGGTTGTTTTGAAGTCTTTATAAGAACGGTGCAGAAAACAAAGGGTGCATAAGTGGATCGTGGAAATGGGAGAGGTATTTCAGAATTTGGGTTTGGGTGATCACTGCTTTCATGCCATCTCTCAGGAGTCTCCCTGGCTCTCACTGCTGGCTCCCTCAAACGAGTTCTGCAGATTCTGTGAATTCTCTTGTTTTAAATGGGGACTGTGGAATTAGCATTTTTTTTCCTATGCTTCTGACCCCTTAATCTTCAGTCCTTCACAGAACTGCTGCTGGTAGCAGAGACAAGTGTGTCCCCCTAACTGCAGCTCACAGGGAGTGTTTCTGAGGGTGTCCATCGGGTGGCAATGTGAGCTCACTGTTGTGTTTGTGTTCCAGGCTGGCTCCTGCCCTGCCGCTGAAAACGCCGCGTCTCGGGAGCCGCTGGTGAGTCCCTCAAGAGGCAACACGGGATTTCCTTGTGATAACATAATACACATGAGTTGTTCTCTTTGCTGCATCTTTTTTCATCCGTTGCTTTGCTTTTCTGAGGAGCTGGTGCTTTGTGGAAAAGGTGTAAAGTGCTGTAGGTGGCCTTGCTGTTCTCTGAGTTGTGACCCAAAACCGTCACCTCCCATCTGCTGGGGTTGGACACGGCTCAGCTGGGCCACCCTGCTGGCCTTGAGCACAGACTGCCTGTCCTGAGTGAGTGCAGTGTGTGCTCTTGTTCAGTGCTTATTTAGGAAAGAGTTTGAAGAAAGCCCTGGGCAGCATAATTTAAACTGGATTCTTAGTGCTATTGTCTAATAAAAACCCCTCTGCTGCTCGGAGACCTCATTCACACTGTCTTTATATTCAGAGGCACTCAGAGTGAGCTTAGAAGTGTTTGTCAGCTGGCAGTGCATGTGATCCAATGTTTTTACTCCAGAAGCATTTTGGAAAGGGCTCTGGGATTTTTTGTGTATGATGATAACTAAGAGAACCCTGTTTTGTTTGCTCTTTTATGGTGACGCAGAGTGGGAATTGAGCCACTAGTCCTGGAGCTGCAGTACGTTGTTTTTTACAACCTTGTTTTTCTTTCTTTCCTTCCTCTTTAGCCACCTATAACTCAGTCAAAACCTTGCCAAAATTCTTAGCCAATGTTATGGTCCTAAATATATAAATCTCTAACTGAGTTTCTTCTCTGGATTTTCATTTGTTGATCACGGTGAATACAAGGGGCTTGCAGGGAGAACACTGAAATACTCATGGCACTGGCCACATCAAAGTATTTTTATCATGTAAGTCTTACCTGGGGACCCCAGGAGATGGTTTTTAAAGGAGAAAGATGTGAGCAAAAGTTGTGAACTGGGAAGGGTCAGTAAAATGAAAGGGCTGTGAAGCTCTGCAGTGACAATCTCTCTGTCTGGTAACACTGTGCCATCCCTTAATTGCATGGATGTCTGTCTGTGAGATTCCCTGGAGCTGTTATTGACACCGTGTGCCTTGTGATGGATTTGGTGGTTTGCTGTTGGGGGGTTTGGTTATCCCCCCATCCTCCCTTGGAAAGGTCATAGCAGGCAGCAGATCATCACAGCCTGTGCTGATCAACAGTTTGTTTTTTCTCAGGGCAGGTTCTACCATTACCTTTGATTTCATTAATTTCTTACTGTATATGTGACTGCAGAATTGCTCAGAGGAAGCACAAAGCAGTTGTGTGTCTTTCTGTTTGGGTGGATATTCCTACTACATAAAATTATTTGTACACTCAAAGAACTCCAGCATAAACTTTACTCTCACCATGGTGAGTCTTACACTTGAGCTAATTAGAGCCCTTTGAAAGGTTGAGGTTTCCTCCTTATTTTTTCATTAATTGGGTTTTTTTTTTAAAATAAACTCTCATAGTCTTTGTCACATTTGTTTAGAAGTGATTATTGCTTCCAGCTGCTCCTCTGTGGACGCCTTATTAAATGAGCAGTGCAGCTCTGTGAGCCAGATGACCTGACTTCCACCACCCTGCCGGGGCTTCCCTGTAGCCAGGAGTGTGCTCAGTGCCCTCCACACACCCAGGACATGTTGGTCCATAAAACAGACCTGTAGGCACATGGTGCCCTGTCATAAAAGTGTTTATGGAAGCCCTAGAGCAGACTGTGGCAGGAATCCAGCAAACGGGGCTGTGTGGGGAATCCACGTGCTCAGGGATATCATCCCGGGCTTCAGGTTTGGTGTGAAGCAGTTGCAGGATCCAGAGGAGGGAGAAAAGAACCTCATGGCCAAATTCTGCTCTGCACCCCCTCACCTGTTTTGGCTTGATTGGTGACAGGGCTGAGACCTGTTTGGAACATAAAGCACACAAGGGTGAGAAAGCAGTAGGATTAAACCACCTTGCATTGTATCACCAGTTGTTGTTATGGAGTAAAGCTGGGTTTGTACTGTATTCCTGATTTCTATGGTCACTGTATCCTGCAAGGTGCTAAATACCTTCTGCTCTGTGCTGAGGGGCACTGTCTGCTGCCTACTCTGGACTCCTCTCAGGAGGAACCCAGGAGAAGCCACGATTCCTGGTGGTTTGCACAAGGATTTCAGCATTCTGCAAGGTCCTGTAGCAGGCAGTCTGACACATCATACTGTGTCCTGCATTTGGGTCTTCCAGGATACCTTGTTGTGGCCTTCAGAGCTCAGCCCTACAAACTCAGCCCTACAAACTCCTGTCACATCCCAAACTGCTTTTGTCCCACCCACTTGTGATGTTTTGAGCCACCAGAAGGAGACAAGGGACTCCACGTCCGTGCCATTAATCCCCTGAGTTCTCCGGTGCCCTCCCAATAAACCGTGCCAGCTGAAGAACACTCCCTGCTGAGAGGTCGCGGTGTGGGAGCCCCGGCGGCGGGGGCTGAGCCGGCGGGGGCTGGGCAGGGCTGTAATTCCTGCGGCAGAGGGACACTCATTTCCCGGCTGTCGGTCTTGGCCCATTAAAATCTGCCGTGTAGCTCCAGGGTGGGCAGTGTAACCTTGTGTTCCCGGAGCGTCAGCATCTCGCTCTGCTGCTGTTTACAGCCACCTTTGTCACCGTCAGCGCGGGATCAGCTTCTCCTTGAGTCCGGCTTGTCACCCCCGGCTGCTCGGAGCAGCCACCTCTGATAAGCTCTGAACACTTGTGGAATTGGAATCGGTTTGTCTTTTTACAGCCACTCAAAGCAAAGTCCTGGGATGTGCAAAGGATGTAACCACACAGGACAAACCCCCTTTCAGTGAGGTTAAACCGTTGGAGAATCTCTTTTTCTTCTGGAATCTTGGTTTCCCTTGTTTCCCCTTTGTTTCTAATATCTCTCCTTAGTGCAATTAAGTAATCTTTTTAGCTTGTTTTGTCTCTCCCGAGCAGAGTCTTGTAGCTTTCTAACCAACCTGTGCTGCTTTTGAGGTGTTTTCAAGAGCTTGAATATGTTTGCTGTAGGCGTTTGCTTTCTGCTGAATCTGCTGCAGCCCAAATTGCAGCTCTGCAGGTTGTACCTGTGAGAGCCTCCAACAGGAGCTTGGGTTGTAGGGATAACCTAAGGAAACAGAGGCCTTTCCACATGCTGCTTCTTTGTTTGGGTGGTTTTTCCCCTGACACAAAACATACTCATTCCCTTGCTGGAAGAAGTACTACTTGTAAGTATAACAGTACTAGCTGTAAATGTAAAACTCTCTTAGTTGCTCACTAAGTTACAAAATCCCTGGATCATGATATGAGGAGCAGGGTATTTTCTTTTGTAGGATAATTTCTTTTTTTTTTAGCATGTGCCGTTTCTGTTTCTTGCTGCAGATGAGAGCAGTTAGCTCTGAAATATGGACATTTTATTCCCTTTTTTACAGGCTGTTGAAGGGTACAAGGTAGCAAGAATTACTGCTGCCTCTCTAGCAATTAGTGTAGTTTGTTGGAATGTGCTGGAGCCCTTGTGGCTTTTCCCCACCCTTTGTTAAACTGATTTTCAAATATTTAGGGGCCTGATAATGGCCAGAATACTTTTAACACCCCTTTTTGTGCAAACATCAGTAAAGTACACTGCACTGAGTGACAGACAGTAGAATTATTAGATCCTTTCTGTTTTGTTGTCTCGTTTTACACCTTGTCTGTTCTGTTAAGCTTCCTCTCAAGTAGACTGTGAGTACAGAGAATTTCATTTAGCTTTCTGAGGAAGGAGCTTTGCAATTGAGATTTTGACTACTTTTAGCTGGTGTAATTAGAAGTTGATGGAGCCCAACACTATCAACAGCATTGTCTTTAACAAAACCATGAGTGGGAAGGAGGAGAGGCTACAGAGTTGTGCCATGAGATTTGAGGGAGCTTGTCAGGGCTCATGTTCGTTAAGAGTACTCAGAATCTGCTTTTTATGAAAAAAAAATAATCTTTGGGCAAATTGAGAATCCACATCCTTCTTCTTATGAAGGAGGAGATGCTCTTTCTGCCCTATCAAACCCTACAGAACACGAGTTATGTGGGAATTCTTTGCAGTTTTTCTTTGCCTGACATTGTTGTTTGAAATGAAGACAGGAATGGTATTTTCACTGAAAAACTCCTACTTTGTTTTCAGAACACATTCTTACTCAAGGAATACCTTGTAATATCCTTATCCTTTGTTTTGAAGGTCAGAGGTTCTAGTCCAGATTTGTAGAAAATTGTGATTCTTTTTTTTTTTCTTTTTTGGAAGAACTTTTGTTTCCAGAAATGATGTGAGGGACTGGAGTGTGCTGGAGGGACACTCCCCATCACTCTTCTGCTTTCCTTTTCCCCCACCCTCTATTGTTGGAGACAGGATTTATACCTGTTTACTGTACAAATTTTCCGTCTGCCACAGTGGGTTTGCTCGCAGTGGTGGCTACACTGAACGATTCTCTAAAAGTAAATCTATCCAGAGGGGATTTCCAGACAGCCAGAGTCAGTAGGCAACTAACTTACAGCCCCCAGTGAAACATTAGTCAGGATAATTTACTGTCAGCAGGAGAGGAGGAGAGACCACGAGCTCGGTGACCTGGGGCCAGGCAGGAACCTCGCGTGTGATGCTGCTGCACTTGGTTTGGGGAGGTCCTGGATGTGCTGCTGGGGGTACCCAGGGCTGGACAATAATTCCATCAGGCCGTGCAGGGTAATTGCAGTGCGGGTTTTGGGTTTACTGGGCCACGAGCAGGGAGCCAGAGGTGTGTGACTGCCTGGCACAGCATCCCTGGGTTTGCTGCAGAGAGCTCTGTGATTTACTGAGCAGGGCTCTCTTGTGTTTGACCTTCTGAGAAGTTCGAGATTATTGGTTTTTTGTCCGTTTTTCTCTCTTTCTTCTAGGTGTTCATTGACTTCCTCTGTCGTTCGTGCAAAGTGCACTCACTTAATCTGTCAATTCCCTTTACTCTTTTGATTTAGACAAATATATTAATATGTGCAAAGTGCACAGATGCAAATTTACTTACTGAACACAGTTAAAGAAACACTGTCA